CAGGCTGTAGGGGAAGGAGAACACAGATCTCCTGAACCCAAATGCTTTCAGAGCTCTAGGCAGACAACAGATAAGTGACATCAGCCCAGTCCTTACACTGGGAAGTACTTGGGATGCGGGTGAAATATAGAACCCTTGCTAGAGCCCTTTCTAGTGGGCACACCTACAACCCATCTCCTGACGATTGTGGGCATGCAGAACTGGGCACCCAGGATTGCCAGGTTTTCTCATTTTTCGGGAGATGCTAGGAACTGGGATTTATAGGACAAAGTTTCCGTGTAAAACCCTTGTGCCCACATAGACCTGGTCTGGGGAGCAGGTGTAGATGGAGGCCACCTGTTTGCTACTCCTGGTCTCCTGCCTGCTGACCCAACCCTGAGTGTGCAGCTGGTGTGCACACGAGAGGATCATCTGAGACAGGGAGGCATATTTTCATGACGTGGATATATCGAAGTTCTCATACTGGATGACACGGAGCTCTTTATATATTTTTTTAACAGCCCTCATTCTTATTTCCTATTAGGCTTTGCTGATAAAATGGTCAAGTAGGGTCCTGCCCCATTGCCACCATCCTTCCTGATCAGGAATCTACGACTGCGTTTCACAAGGGAGGTGAAGGAAAGTGTGCCGCGGAGCCTGCGGAGAGACCAGTCAGCAGGAAAGAAAGGCAGCACGTGGGGAGGGGATGGAGGGGGAGAAAGACGAGAGGGGAAAAGGAGGGATGGAGAAAGATAAAGAAGAGAAAGAACTAGAAGAATCTGGAGTCGAGTGAATATTTATTAAACCTTAGTGTTGGTAGGTTCTGAATAAAGAGCTTTCCCAGACATGGTCTCAATTGTGAAAGGGGCTTGGGAAGCAGAACTTCGCATCTCCAGTTTGCAGATAAAGAAAGAGAAGCTTCTGGAAGCTGCCTCTAGGGTTCCGGACACAGTGGAGGAGCAAGAGGGACCCCAGGTGCCTGCCCCACGGTAAATGGATGAGCACAAGACAGAAAATGAGAGGATGGCAAGGCAGCCAAGGAAGCAGCATGTTCCTTGGAAGCTGAGGGCGTGTCACCAACCGCTGCTTTCCTGGTCAACAAAAGTTTTAAAATGTCGTGTAATCAAGTAGCAGACGATCCTGGAAATAAACCATTTAAGAGGTTTTAGAAGTCAGCAAAATGAGAGATGGAAAAGTGGGTCACTGACAAAACAATACTTATGTATTTGTTTATTTATCATTCTGCTCTTTTCTGCAGGGGAGCATAAAAATGATTTTTAAGAGAATGGGAGGATCTCTGACATTGCAGGAGCCACAGCAGTAAGTAAAGAAAGGCCTAGAATATGTATTCTGAGCACTTGGATACTGGAGATGCCTGCCCTTGTAACACAAATATCTTTTTTTCCCCCTTAAATAAAAGTGAAACATTCTGGGATGCCGGGGGGGGGGGGGGGGGGGGCTCAGCGGTTGAGTGTCCGCCTTCGGCTCAGGTCGTGACCCCCGGGGTCCCAGGATTGAGTCCCGCATCGGGCTCCCTATAGGGAGCCTGCTTCTCCCTCTGCCTGTGTCTCTGCCTCTCTCTGTGTGTGTCTCTAATGAATAAATAAATAAAATCTTAAAAAAAAAAAAAAGCTAAACATTCGCTCAGTTAAGTGATGGATGGCTGGGTTGTTACTTGTTTCAGCAAGTTCATGGAGAGAAGTCAGTGAAGGTGATCCGGAAGGGATGGGACCATGCGGTAGATATAAAGTCCTTTCAGAAGTGCTCCAGAAAGTATATATTGGCAGAAAGTCAATAGTGGCCTGAAGCTAAGTACATCCAAGTGCCTACATCCGTCACATCACTTTATCTTGTCAGGTGGGCCTTTTATCACCTCACATCATCACAGGAAGCAGGAGGGCAGCAGGGTAAGGCATTTTGAGAGAAAGAGAGACCAGGATCACGGGGCTTCTATTACAACATGTTATAATTGTTCTATTTTATTGTCAGTTACATTGTTCATCTCTTACTAGGCCTGAGTCATCAATTAAACTCTATCGTAGGTGTCTGTGCTCAGGAAAGGACAGTGTCTATTTAAGGTTTGGTACCATCTGTGGCGTCGGGCACCCACTGCAGGTTTTGGAACCCACGCCCTGAGAATGAGGGGGGACTACTGTATGACCTACTGGCTCTGTTTCTCCGGAGAACCCTGATATATATGCACATGTATATGAAACCTCTCTGGAAGGGCACACACCAGGTGGGTGGCTGACAATAGAGATGAAGTTTTCACTGAGTATCCTTTAATGTTTAAAAATTTTGCTTGTTAGAAATAACCCACCTGCTCAAAACATGAAAAAGTATAAAAGGAACATGTTCATTTAATGAAATTTGCTATGTTCAGTTATTGGTTACTGTTTTGCATTATGTTCCCATAAAGAATGTGTTGTTAAAATATACATTTCAAATAAAATAAAATAAAATAAAATATACATTTCTGGAAATGCCAAAAAAAAATCTCGCCGATTTAAAAAACTTTTTTTTAGCTTTTCTTTTAAAGATAATTTTAGATGTACAGGAAAGTTACCGGAAAGGTAGACAATTCCTGTATCCCCTTGACATCGTATATAAACGTAGTACTGCTACCCATGCCCCCAAATTAAGTGATACAATATCACTAACTAAACTGAACAAAACTTTTTGCCAAAGTATTGACCTTGATGCTCCCTAAGCATTTAGAAATTTCTTAGCTGATGGCAAAAAAAAAAAAAAAATCCAGAGGTAAAAAACCAACCAGAGAGTTTCTTTTTTATTTTATTTTATTTTATTTTATTTTATTTTATTTTATTTTATTTATTTTATTTTATTTTATTTTATTTTATTTTATTTTATTTATTCCTGAGAGACAGAGAAAGAGAGGCAGAGACACAGGCAGAGGGAGAAGCAGGCTCCCTTCAGGGAGCCCGACGTGGGACTCGATTCCAGGACCCCGAGGTCATGACTTGAGCTGAAGGCAGACACTCAACCACGGAGCCACCCAGGGGCCCCCAAAATCAAACTTCTTAACCAACTCCTTGGAGTCAGTCACAGGTGTTTCCTGAGCATCCACTGTGTCCCCAACATTGAGACAGACACAGAGAGCCCCACACTTAGTGGACATGAAAACTGGAAGGAACTTGGGGGATGACCTAAAATTGACTTCAATCCCTTCATTGTATGCAGGAGGAAACTGATATTCAGAGGCTCAAACAGCTTGGCCACATGTCCCCAGTTTGCTAGTCACCGAGCTGGGATTACAGTCCCCATGTCCTAATTCCAGGTTCAGTCAGGAGCATTCACTTAAAAATAATAGGTGCGTTAATGGAAGATCGTGTCCTTACTCAATCGAGGACTGTGGTTCCCTGTGACACGGTGTATTGTTCTGAAAGCTGCCCCTACCAGTGAACACTGAGGAAACACCATTCTGTTTGTTGATGTTTTTTTCGTTCATTCAGTTCTCCATGCAACAATGGATCCCTTCTTAATTCTGCTTTATCAGTTAACAATGACTGGTTTTTTTCATTCATTCAGCACCGTGAGGAGTGGTGATATTATTCAGATATAGCCCTGACCTCAAAAAGCTAAAAATCTGGGATCCCTGGGGGGCGCAGCGGTTTGGCACCTGCCTTTGGCCCAGGGCGCGATCCTGGAGACCCGGGATCGAATCCCACATCGGGCTCCCAGTGCATGGAGCCTGCTTCTCCCTCTGCCTGTGTCTCTGCCTCTCTCTCTCTCTCTCTCTGTGACTATCATAAATAAATAAAAATTAAAAAAAAAAGCTAAAAAATCTAGCAAAGGAAATAAGACAAGAGTCGCAAATGATTATGATGGGGGGTAGAGCTTGGTGATGCGATGTCATGAGGGTCCAGATGACTGAAGTCACGTCTGCTTGGGAGAAGGGAAAGCAGGAAAATATATTCCGACTTCACAAAGCTTCGGAGAAAGAACTGCAGTTGGTGGAAATCGTTCAAGTCCCCCAATGCAAGTCTTCTGTTTACTAAAGAAACATAAACGCTAACGGAAAATCAGCAGTTTCCTTAAGAATCGCTTAAACAAACTGTCTTTAACCACAGGACACTTTTTTTTTTTTTTTTTAATTTATTGGCTGCTGAGGCTTTCTGAATGCTTAACCAATCCCCTGGGCAGATAAATATAACTGCAGCCACACTGACCTCGTTGTATCCATACTTACAGTAAGATTAAAGTACTTTAATTCTGTTCTCTCTACACTGAGAACCCTTCGTATTTTAACCTGTCCACTGTAACCCTGCAGGGGCCTTTCTAGATGATGGCGTTATAGGATTTTAATGAGACTTGATAGTCTGAAATGCAATAAATGCCTTTTTCTAAAAAACAACAACAAAAACCTTTCAGGCATATTAAGTTACAATTTAGGTGTAGTAAAAATTACACTTTTTCGGCGTATTGTTCCATGATTTTTGAGAAAGGGGATGCTTTTGACCGCGATTCTCACCGTTAGATTAGCACAGTAAAGACGCGCAGAACCGAATGGAGAGGAGCAGGCCCGGAAGCAGGGTCCACGGGAAGCAAACACCTCCAGCGCGCTCTCTACCTGCACGGTCTCCACCACCTGCGAGCCTGGGGGCTCCAGGGCTTAGCGCCGCCTCCGCCCAGGGCGTGACCCCGGGTCCCGGGATCGAGTCCTGCCTGGGGCTCCCTGCATGGAGCCTGCTTCTCTCTCTACCTGTGTCTCTGGCCCTCTCTCTGGGTCTCGCAGGAATAAGGAAATAAAGTCTTAAAAAAAAGAAAGAAAAGAAAAGAAAACAAGAAAAGAAAGAAAAACAAGAAAAGAAAACAAGAAAAGAAAGAAAAACAAGAAAAGAAGAAAAGAAAAGAAAGGAAAAGAAAAAAAACAAGAAAAAGAAAAGAAAAAAAGAAAGTAAGAAAGAAAAGAAAGAAAAGAAAAGAAAAGAAAAGAAGAAAAGAAAGGAAAAGAAAGAAAAGAAAAGAAAAAAGAAAACAAGACTCCTTCAGGATCTCAGATGGGAAGACCGCAGCTTGGAGAAGTCCAGGCCTTGGCCCGGCCGCAGGCCCAGCAGGTAGCGGGCCCCAAGCTCCGGCCTCTGTCATTCAGGGGTTTAGGGATCCGGAGAAATTGGCTTCCCCGGTGCGTGGAGGGAAGTGTGGACCCGCCTTCGGTCCCCCAGCGCCTCTCCTCCCCCAGCAGAGCCCCGCCTCCGGGTTCACCCGCGGGAGGAAACCGTCTGACCCCCAGCGGCCTCGGGAATGGGGGTCTCGGACGAGCCGCCCCAGAAGTGGAAGAAACGAGGAGGCAGGCGGCACGCGCGTGGACGGAGCCGGCTCGCCCCCCGCCCCCCTCCGCGTGGACGGAGCCGGCTCGCCCCCCCACCATCCTCCGCGTGGACGGAGCCCGGCTCGCCCCCACCCCCCCTCCGCGTGGACGGAGCCGGCTCGCCCCCACCCCCCCTCCGCGTGGACGGAGCCCGGCTCCCCCCCGCCCCCCCTCCGCGTGGACGGAGCCCGGCTCGCCCCCACCCCCCCTCCGCGTGGACGGAGCCCGGCTCCCCCCCGCCCCCCCTCCGCGTGGACGGAGCCCGGCTCGCCCCCACCCCCCCTCCGCGTGGACGGAGCCCGGCTCGCCCCCCGCCCCCCTCCGCGTGGACGGAGCCGGCTCGCCCCCCCACCATCCTCCGCGTGGACGGAGCCCGGCTCGCCCCCACCCCCCTCCGCGTGGACGGAGCCCGGCTCGCCCCCCGCCCCCCTCCGCGTGGACGGAGCCGGCTCGCCCCCCCACCATCCTCCGCGTGGACGGAGCCCGGCTCGCCCCCACCCCTCCTCCGCGTGGACGGAGCCCGGCTCGCCCCCCGCCCCCCTCCGCGTGGACGGAGCCGGCTCGCCCCCCCACCATCCTCCGCGTGGACGGAGCCGGCTCACCCCCACCACCCTCCGCGTGGACGGAGCCCGGCTCGCCCCCACCCCCCTCCGCGTGGACGGAGCCCGGCTCACCCCCAACCCCCTCCGCGTGGACGGAGCCCGGCTCCCCCCCACCCCCCTCCGCGTGGACGGAGCCGGCTCCCCCCACCCCCTCCGCGTGGACGGAGCCGGCTCACCCCCACCACCCTCCGCGTGGACGGAGCCCGGCTCGCCCCACCCCCCTCCGCGTGGACGGAGCCCGGCTCACCCCCAACCCCCTCCGCGTGGACGGAGCCCGGCTCCCCCCCCCCCTCCGCGTGGACGGAGCCGGCTCCCCCCCACCCCCTCCGCGTGGACGGAGCCGGCTCACCCCCACCACCCTCCGCGTGGACGGAGCCCGGCTCGCCCCCACCCCCCTCCGCGTGGACGGAGCCCGGCTCACCCCCAACCCCCTCCGCGTGGACGGAGCCCGGCTCCCCCCCCCCCCTCCGCGTGGACGGAGCCCGGCTCACCCGCCCCCCCCTCCCCGTGGCCCGAAGCGGGGCGGGGCTGCACCTGCTGCTGTCAGTGCAGGCGCCCTGGGCTCTGCCCTCTCTGGTCCCCCCACCCCGCCGCGGGGGGCGACAGCGGAGCGGCCGGCGGCCCTCGCGCCCACGCGGGCAGCTCTGCGTCCCCCACCGCCCAGCAATCCAGTCCCATTGTCCACAGCCTCGGGGCGAAGAGGGAAGTAAGCCTGGAGAGCCGGGAGTAGAGTAATACGCCCCCCTCTTCCCCCAGATTCCGACTCTGCCGCGGCTCGGCCGTGCGAGTTGGGACCCGCTCCTATCTTTTGATTTTTTTCTCTTGGGACTGCGGTCAGTCTGGCCATTCAGCACCCCCGCACTTTACTCTCTTTCACTGTCTATTTTTTAAGCATTTTATTTTTTTTTTTTTCATGAGAGACGCAGAGAGAGAGGCAGAGACCCAGGCAGAGGGAGAAGCAGGCTCCCTGCAGGGAGCCCGACGCGGGACTCGATCCCGGGACCCCGGGGTCACGCCTGAGCCAAAGGCAGATGCTCTACCACGGAGCCCCCCAGGTGCCGCCCTTTCACCGTTTAAAGCAGGTTTTTACCCAATAAACCAACAAGATATCATGCCATGTACTTGGGTCCAGATTGGAATTTAGAGGAACACCTAATAAGCTTAACCCTTTTCTCATTTTGGCTACTTTGGGCCTATTTCTTAGGAGTTTGAGTTACTATGTCTTTCTCTTAGGCCTTTGAGTCCATAGCAGGTACTCAGCAAATGCTTGCTGATCACTCAAGGAAATCAACAGATTTATCATCAGATAAAGTGAACACGGCCCAGACCCAGAGCGGGTGATTAACATCTAAAAATCGAGCGGGTGATTAACATCTAAAAATCAAGCTTAATTTACACGGTAAATTTCGTTTCGTAGCAGTTCAACGTTTTGCAGAGGCACAACATCTAACTTATCCAGGGACTCAGTTTCTACCAAGGATGAGGATTTGGAGACAAGATGAGTAACTACACGACGTCCTGCCCCGACCAGGAGCGGGAGCACCTACAATCCGGCGAGCAGAGGCTGCAGCTGGTTCCCAAAGCGCATCACACTCCGTGGCGCCCAGTGCAGGATTGTGTCCATAGAGCACATTGCGGGCAAATGCACAAGGCAGCCCAGGAGTCCACACTGCCCCGGGGATGCCAGCAGTCAGAGTCCTACCACCCCAGCCCCCTCTCCGCGAGCCCCAGGGATGGGGGACTCAGTGAGCCATCACACCTGCAATACCTGTGTGTCACGGCACACCTCTTGAAAAGCTGTTGTTAACTTTCATACACGTGTTCCAATGTAAGAGAGTGATCATATTGATGTGTGAGTCATTTTGCCTTCCCTCACTCAATTACTACAGGGGACACTGTCTAATCACTGTGATTATATTATTATCTATAAAAAAAAAAACCCAACATACTTGGACCAATAAAGAAAACAGGAAAAATTTTGTTGCACAAAACAGAAAACTTGGCTCTTTTGCTCTTGCATAACCAGTTCACCTTGGCTTTTTTATTCTTGCGTAACAAGGAATTAGTTACTGGTATTGGTTTAACATTTGTTGCTGCGAGGGCATTGGATTGGAGCCTTCGGAACTTCCTTTGGCCTTGCTCTTGGGCTTACAAGATGGCCACAGAGGGCCCTGAAATGACATTATCCTGTCGCCCAAAGGCACCATATGGAATCTCTCTTTCAATGCATCAACTCCTTATCAGGAAGAAAAGAACTTCCCAGAGGCCCCTAACTGGACCCCCCTATATTTCATTGGCCAGAACTGGAACACGTGGGCATTCTTAGCTTACAATAACACAGAGAAAGCAAGTGTCTGACCTGTTTAGTGATGTCAGGTAGAGACAGGGTCTTGAGAAGCCAGTCAGTAGCTGACTTATTGCTCCACAAAGCATTTCTGGTTATAGATTAAAAGGAGGGACACCCAGGTGTCTCAGTGGTTGAGCATCTGCCTTTGGCTCAGGGCATGACCCAGGGGTCCTAGGATTGAGTCCCACATCGGGGTCCCTGCAGGGAGCCTGCTTCTCCCCCTGCCTGTGTCTCTGCCTCTCTCTGTGTGTCTCATGAATAAATAAATAAATAATCTTTATAAATTAAATTAAATTAAATTAAATAACCAATATTATAAATCCTCTGTGCCCTTTGATCTCAAGTGTAAGATGATTCTAAAAAAAAAAAAAGAAGAAGGAATTAAAGGGAAAAACAAGTCTTCATTTCCTAATATTATCCAAACAAAATGACTTCCTATTACTAAAATATATAAACAAATGTTAAAAAAAAAAAAACAAACCTGGAGTATCTATGGTTTCTACAACATTGGCCAACTCTCTGTAGGTATTTGGCAGTTTAGTCTACAATGGTTTGCTCAGATTTCTTAAAATATATTCTCACTTTCCCTCCTGAAAGTCCCTGGACTCTTTCAAATGCCTCATGTCTTAAGTCTGCAAGTTTCCTCATAAACTACCTTCCCCACTACACCCCAGTCCATCTGTGTATCTTCTCATGAAATACTTCACATAGAAGCTTCTCATACATTTCCACCTCAATGTCTTGTGAAAACATAGTCATTGAGATATATTAATATTTTAATTATTTTAAGGTATATACAAACTATTTAATATTAAAACAAATAAAAGTCTTAGAATGTATTTTACTGTTATCACATGCATGGATTCACAAATCAAATCAGCATGCCAAGTACTGGCTCATAATGAAAAGCAGCAGTCTTCTGCCTCACCTACCCCACTCTCCATTCCCACTTCCGGAGTCAATCATTTTCAGCTCAGTTACCTTTTCCTTTGTGTATTTATACCTACATTTTAAATTACATGCTTTAAAAAAATTGTTTTAAGATTTATTTATTTGAGAGAGAGAGAGAGAGCATGAGCGAGGGGGAGTGGCAGAGGGAGAGGGAGAGGGAGAAGCAGACTCCCCACTGAGCAGAGAGCCCGACCTGGGTTCAATCTCAGGGCCCCAGGATCATGACCTGAGCCGAAGGCAGATGCGTAACTGACTGAGCCACCCAGGCGCCCCTAAATTACATGCTTAAATTGATATTTCTTGACTTTTTAACTTGAGACTTCATCTGCTGGCTCTCTTCTATGTAGTGTGAGGATCTGGCTCCCTCATAAATTCCTGTGCCTATTTTTATCCTCATCCCATCACGCTCTATAGCTAGGTCACTTTCTTTTTCCTAATACTCTTCTTTGCATAGCATTCTGTTCTTGTTTTATTATTACAAGATTTCCTCTCATCTCTCCAAAGGCATAAATGACCCTTTTCTGAAATTTTCTTCCACCAGTTTCCTCTCATGTTCCTCATTTGTGAAATCTCCCATTGAAGCCTTTCTTGAAATGCCTTCCTGATTCTTGAACGTTTGTTCAGTAACAAACGAAACATTTATTACTTTCACTTAAAGGTGACAGACTGGATCGCATTCATCTTTACTTCTTCGTGAAACTCCTCTGAAGGGAGAATAAAGGAATCAAAGTGGTGAAGAATCAAAGAGAACAGGGGAAGAGTCAGAGGAGAAAGTGATGTCAAAACGATTTGACAGCAGCTCTGTGTAAATAGTTTATTTATTCGCTGGTGGACGACCTCAGTATATTGTGGCAGATGGAGACCCACAGATATTGGAATCCGTTGGTCTTCTTTCTTGGGTTGGTCGGTTTCCCCAAAGAGGAATCATCCATTCCCCTACTGGGGTGACAGGAAGCTGGCTGCTATGGATGGTGGGAACCCGGTGTGGGAAGGAGGGTGGGCATTCCCATTCAGAATGGAGGCTGTCGCTCAGTCTGCTTTAGTGCTTCACCTCACCACCCCACCCCTCTCTGTTGGGCCTGGTATTCCAGGGCTGAACATTTCTCTAGAATTTCCAAGAACAGAACTTGTGCTCTGCTCAGGTAGTGGGATGGACAAGCTGCTGGACTTAGGGCAGGGAACCTGAGAGTCTGTTCCTTAAAGAGATTTTTGGCGACTCTGGTTTTGATCCCCTCCACACCTGGCTTCAGCCAGCTGGCGCCCTCCGTGGCACGGCCTTCCCGAGATCCTGCAAACGGGAATCATTGCTCGGGACCGGGCTCTGCCCTCCTCTCTCTCTGGCCCCAAGATTCTGCTTTTTCTGCTGAGCCAAGCCACTTACCGCTTGCCCATCTGTTTTCCATTTTGCAAAATCGTTTTGACATCACTTGGTCCCCCGACTCCTCCCCTGTTCTCTTTGACTCTTCACCACTTTGATTCCTTTATTCTCACTTCAGAGGAGTTTCGCGAAGAAGTGAAGATGAATGCAATCCAATCTGTCACCTTTAAGTGAAAGTAATAACCGTTTCACCCGTGGGCATCCGATCACAGCCGGGCACTGGCCCACCTAGCTACTCACGCGTCCGTGTGAGGCTGTGTTTTTAGAAGCAAGAATTAGAGCTGTGTATGTACACCTTAGGGAGGGAAGGCCTGCGCTCCTAGCTTCCCCTGCGGCCGCTGTGCCGAATGACCAAGTTCAGGCCAATGTAATGATAATGGCAGTGACTGTGCGCTGGGAGCCTTGGCTTGAACGCCCCCGTGCCCTCATCTGTTCTCCCCGCGGGCTGGGACGTGGGGGGGCCCCCGCTGGCAGCTTCCACTGCACAAACAGGGACAACGCCCCAGGGGAGGGCAGGGCACAAATGGGAGGAACTTTTTACTTTTGCATAAGCACAGCCACCCTCCCGGACTGTTCACTCCAAACTGTCATGTGAGAAATAAATTAATCTCTCCCTGCCTCGGTGGTTTGCGGGGGGGTTTGCTAAGGCAGCTTAGCCCTACTCGACTGCGACCCTGCACAGTAGTTCCCAAGGCACGTCTATAAATAAGCCGCGTATCTACTGCCTGTGGTGGTGGAAAAAGCAGCAGCATCCCAGACCAGGCTTTCCCAGATTCTGCTTCCATTTGTCTGGGGTAAGGTGCAGAAATCTGTTTTGTGGTTGTTGTTAACCACCTAGATTTTTCTGCTACATGGTCAAGACTATGAACCACTGACCTTGCCCAGTTTACCAGAAAACTACTTTCCCTGCTTTCCCATGGTTTTTCCCATTTCTTATTCATGCCCTCTGCATCTCTGTATTCTCTTCCTGACTCCTTTGTGAAAAGTCAAGTGTTAATGTTATCGTGGTCGATGATTGTTTTTGTCTTCCTGGA